TACTGAGTAGGTTATTCAAGCCAGACCTGGCCAGCCGCGCGGGTTTGCTGCATTCATATGCTAATTAGGGCCATTAGTACAGCTGATCGCTCTCCACATACGTCAGAGTCCGTTCCCGACAATTTGTGGCACTGACAAACGGGGACAAGCGCGGGTTGCAAATTGTCGGAAACTGACGAAAATCAGGGAGATCTGCGGGAGTTTACGGGGACGAAAATCTCACTTTTCATGCAGTGCAAGGAATTTGTCACTGCATGCACACGGTGCAATCAAGCCAAGACCTCTTATCGACCTCCCTCTGACCTGTTACGTGCACTTCCTGTGCCCTCACAGCCCTGGTCCCACATCTCCAAGGATTTCACCACCTGTTGCCTGTATCTGAAGGTAACTCCTTAATTCTCACAATAATTGATAGATTCTCCAAAATGGTTCACCTGGTTCCTCTACAGAAAATTCCCTCTGCAAAAGAGATGGGCAAATTTCTTGCCAAGGAACCTCCCAGCACTGCAGTACAAGGTGGGAGAAAAGGTGTGGCTCTCCACCCAGGACCTGTCATTAAGGGTGAAATGCCGGAAATTGGCTCCTCGTATCATTGGTCCCTTCCATATGACTTAAGCAGTGATGCCTCCAGCTCCCTCTGACCATGAAGTACCATCCCACCTTTCACATGTCTTGTGTCAAACTTGTTGTGCAATCTCAATGCGGCAGTTTTAACATGCCAATACACTGATAAAACATCTCTCCTGGTTTCTGGTTTAATTCTTGGTCTTCCTATTTCTGGTGATTACTGCAGGTTCTTCTCGTACCCTTAATGATGAAACAAAATTGGCGCCAGCTGTATCAAATTAGCTGATAGCACAGCCCAAACGCTCCCTGAAGTAATCTAGTGGGAAGAACAGGAAACACTGCAACACACTCCCAGAACCACAACCGTGCCTTTTTATTTTTATTTCATTCTATTATTGTTACTATTTTTTGTCTCGTGGAGGCCCCAAAGCCCCAAGCTTTTTGTAGGAACAAAAGACAGTGTGAAAGATTACAATATACATGTGGGCCAAACACTTTAAAACCATGAAAATAACAAGAATCAGTGACATCACACAACAACTGGCGTCACCGGTGATTGTGGTGACACCGGTGATTGTGGTGGTCCAGAATTCTCAGTCTGACTTCATTCCACCGGTCATTTCCTGGTCACTATTATTCCCTCTCTCATTACAGAAATCCAAAGAGATCCAGCTCCAGTCTCAGACAAGTCTTTCACAATCTGCTGCATCTTTCTATTCAATAAACTGTTGACCTGTCTTTGTTCAGGCTGAGTTCTTTGTTCTCAAATTCTATTTGTTACAGTTACAAATCTCTGTCTCTGTCTTAGTCTTAGGTCTTTTGCAGACTCCAACAGGTTTTCTTCCAGAATAGTCCTGTATTTGGGTCCATCCATCTTCCCATAAATTTTTATCATCTTCCCTGTCCTTTTTAAAGAAAAGCAGCCACAAACCATGATGATGCCACCACCATGTTTGACAATGGGGATGGTGCATTCAGGGTAATGAGCTGTTTTTCTTTTACGCCAAACACAACATTTTGCTCTTTAAACAGACCTCTGAGACTCTCACCGAGCAGGTGCATTTCTACAGAGACTTTATTAAACACGGGTGGAATCTATTTATCATCATCAGTCATTTAGATCAACCTAGGATCATCTAGAGATCCTCACTGAAGTTCTGAGTTTGCTGCACTGAAATTAAAGGGGTTAAATATTTTAAACCAAAGGAGACTTTAGAGAAGCCAATTAACCTAACAGTCATGTTTTGCCGTGGGAGGAAGCCGGAGTACCCGGAGAGAAAACCCCTATGTACAGGAAGCAAACTCATGCAAACTCCATGCCGAAAGGCTGGGAATCAAACCTGTATCTTCTTGCTGCAAGGCAGCAGTGCTAACCACTGCGCCGCTGCTTAAAATAAACAATGAAATTTGTTCCACTTCATGACTGTGTCCCAGTTATTGTTGAAAAAATGGCAATGTTTTATTGAAGCCTAAAATCTGGCAATAGCTTGAAAAGTTAATGGAGGGCAAATACTTTTGGAATGCACTATATATCACAATAATTTGCACAGTAAATAAAAAAGATCTAAGTCATCTTAAGACTCTTACCCGTCCTTAATGCTGCAGATTGTTGGACTTCTTTTCGTTTTGCCATCCGTCTTTTCTCAGAGACCATGTCATCAACTTTTTGCAATAGAGAAATTATCTCATTTTCATCCATCATACTTCTTGTACATGTATGGTATCGTTTTTCATAAAAACTGCTGTTTGCTTTCAAGTCTTGGAGAGCACTTTCACAAATTTCATCTGGGCCACGAGTCACAACTGTCATTACATAAGAACTGTGCTCCTTCCCAAACCTTCTTTCTAGCCACTGCATTCCAGAGGTGTACTGGCTCTCATGCTGGCCATTTGATATCAGTAAGATAAAGACAGGGTCTTCTGTATTTCTTGGAACTGTGTCAATGCTTGGAAACCCAAGCATGTTTATGAAAGAGATGTGACGACCTAGGAGGTCATAAAGTCGGGATGAAAACACTCTCTCATTTATCTCCTTGTCTTTGTCAAGTATGATATTTTTTGATCCAATCTCAATGGAGTTATTGTTTCCAATTAAAACAAGTGTGAGTTCAGGAGTCACTGAAAAGCAAAAGTACAATTACATGACACACCTGTTTAAAGCAGCCTTAAAAACTGCAGCTTAGGGAAATATGCAATGAAATGTGCAGTCAGTGCTCCAACAATCTTACCTGCATTGCTTGCCGTTAATGAGGGCATGTTGTCAGTCTCCTCCTGTATGTTTTTGTCCTTCTTCTCGGACTTATCAGCATCATCACTGTTCATGACTATGAAAATACAATTATTTATCAATCCTCTGTTTATAANTCCTGTTAGGAATTCAGTTTGTGTGGGTTATTTGTCTGTTTTTTTTCTCCCTCCACCACCAGGTGGTGCCCTGTCCTCCTTGGCCCTCCTGCACACCTGCGACTTGTTGGATCATTACTGAGGAGTATTTGAGCAGTGGACTGTCACTACCTCAACGCTAGAGTGTTGCCAGTTTTGGGTACTCTAGACAAGCTGAGTTTAGCTGAGTCTAACCTGAGCCTTTGTTTCTCTGAGTCTTATATTGTTTTTTCTTTGCTCTTCAGCAGGAATCCTTCCTGTGTAACTGGATGCCTGGCCTTCTCCCCCTTGAAGGATTTACTGAGTTCACACTGAGCAGGGGAAAACATCCACATGAGCTGTTCAACTCCCTTTCGGAAATCCAAGTGACAGTCCACTCCATTGCTCCTCCGGGTCCAACGAATGTCTACCTGTCCGCTCTCCAACGAGTTACCTCTTCTCTGGATAAACCCACACTGACTGGATTCAAGGATAAACAAGAACCCCCTCCAACAGTATTCAAGCCTCAGTCAATTTTCCTATGGTCCCTGAACTGATCACTGTGATCTCCCCTCCAGGTTTTCTAGTTCCGGTTCACCAGTTCACTGAGTTCCAGATCCAACTCCTGTACGCATTACCACAATAAACCTGTTTAACTTTTCCCTGGTTCTCTGAGTGGTTCTCTGCATGTGGGTCAGATCTCTTAAAACAATCATGACACTCCAAAATGTGATTAAAGATATCTTGCATTGTTATTTTCCCCTAGACATAATATAAGAATATAAAACATCATTAATGGCGTTCAAAATTTAGTAAATAATGTTTGTCTATTCTATTATTATTTCTGTATCTCTATAATGGGTCTGTATTATGAGTTGTCTTGTCTATCCAGAGGGCCCCATGTAAATATCCTATATCTGTCCCTGCTTTGATTCTCTCCTCCAGGTTTCATCTGAGAATTTAGCCAGTTAACCTAACAGGCATATTATTGGACTGTGGGAGAAGGCCGGAGTACCCGGGGAGAACGCACACATGCATAGGAAGAACATTCAAACTCCATGAAGAAAGGCGAGGGATCGAACCCTGTACCTTCTTGTTTCAAGGCAGCAGTGTTAACCACTGTTCACTTGTTAAAATATCCAATAAATTTTGTTCCACTTCATTAATGTGTCGTACTTGTTTTTCATTCTTAACAAAAGATTGCAATGTTATATTGAAGTTTGAAATCTGCCAAAAAGTTCATGGGGGGGGCAAATACTTTTGCAATGCACTGTATATCATAATAATTGGCACAGTAAATAAAAAAGATCCAAGTCATCTTAAGACTCTTACCTGTCCTTAATGCTGCAGATTGTTGGACTTCTTTTCCTTTAGCCATCCGTCTTTTCTCAGAGACCATGTCATCAACTTTTTGCAATAAAGTAATTATCTCTTTTTCATCATGCATACTTCTCGTACATGTATGGTAACGTTTTTCATAAAAACTGCTCTTTGCTTTCAAGTCTTGAAGAGCACTTTCACAAATTTCATCTGGGTTATGAGTCACAACTGTCATTACATAAGAATCGTGTTCCTTCCCAAATCTTCTTTCTAGCCACTGCATTCCAGAGGTGTACTGGCTCTCATGCTGGCCATTTGATATCAGTAATATAAAGACAGGATCTTCTGCATTTCTTGGAACTGTGTCAATGCTTGGAAACCCAAGCATGTTTATGAAAGAGATGTGACGACCTAGGAGGTCATAAAGTCGGGATGAAAACTCTCTCTCATTTATCTCCTTGTCTTTGTCAAGTATGATATTTTTTGATCCAATATCAATGGAGTTATTGTTTCCAATTAAAACAAGTGTGAGTTCAGGATTCACTGAAAAGCAAAAGTACAATTACATGACACACCTGTTTAAAGCAGCCCTAAAAACTGCAGCTTAGGGAAATATGCAATGAAATGTGCAGTCAGTGCTCCAACAATCTTACCTGCATTGCTTGCCGTTAATGAGGGCATGTTGTCAGTCTCCTCCTGTATGTTTTTGTCCTTCTTCTCGGACTTATCAGCATCATCACTGTTCATGACTATGAAAATACAAATATTTATCAATCCCCTGTTTATAAGGATATATAATGAGGTATTTTCTGACAGAAATATCTATAACTTCCACTGCCAGTTCTTTTCACAATCAACCTATGCATTTATATACAATATACTGGCTCACATAGAAACAATCCAGTACCTAACATGCAACCATACATAGCAAGCTTGTATTGGTAGGGAAGCCTTCGGCATGGGGGATAGAAAGATTGTATATCAGATATATCTGGTTCTTTTAATGCCTCTCGTTGTATGTCATTACAAAGGAATTACACCTGTGAGACTAATTCTGAGTTTATGAAGTTATAAACTATTTAACAGCAAATTTTTAATCAATTTAATTGTTTTACTGAATTGCTGGCAAGTAAAATCATCAGATGAGTTCTCAGAATGTCCCCCAACAAACTGGTCTGCATGTCTCTGGTCTCTCCCTAATTGTATTCTTTCTTTTGCCATCCATTTTTTTTAGCTGTTTCACTTTCTTTTCATCACTCCTCCTGACTCTTGTCTATATCCTCTCAATAACAGTAAATATACAGTTTATAATATATATACTGTTGCTAAAAGAAAACATTTCATTTTCAACATAATTCAATTGGTATGATTTAATTTGGTTTAAATTCTTACCTGCTTTGGACCTCCCTTTGCTCCTTGCCTTCAGCAGCTGTAAATAAACAGGGTATACAGGTAAAGGAGTATGTTTGAATACATTAATATCATTACATATATACTGAAAATATCTAAATAGACCACCAGTGATGTCTCACTTTAACTTTCGCTGAAAATCTTTATATTGCAAAAAAGAAGTCAAAACTGTCTTTATGTGCACTGTTTGGCTAAAAGCCACTGACAATAACCTTGGCCTGACTCTGAGAGGACTATTGGACTACTAAATTTAACCAAGTTATGCTACCACTCCCATGAAATATAACAATATTCAGGCTTTAAAAGTGGGCCTATAAATGTTCTTTCTGGAGAGGGCATTTTCCCTGATGCAGGGGAACCAGATTCAGAAGTAACTCCTTTCACGTGTCATGTCTGAACAGTCCAGTCTATCTTGAATATTCACTTACAAATAAAAAAAAAAAGCAGGAGAGAGTTTCTAATCATCAGCCTGCCTTAGTGCAAACACGGGTGTACAAAGAAACTAATAATTGAAGAAAACTATCTTCAAAAGTTTGTTAGTTAAATAATCCATATTCCCCTCGGAACATATTCATATAATCAACAGCTTATTTTCAATTTAGCCTACATCTTGTCTTCAAATAATTAGGTCTTTCTATTATAATGAAATAATTCTCAGTCTCATCTGCTTTTATCTTCTCTACCAGGACGATGAAAAGAGACGTCTTACAGTCTATCACTTTTACATTAAACAATCTTTGTTTGCTTCGACATTTAATATATTATCTGTTAATTAAAGAAGGCCTATCTTCTTTTCAACATTCAAATCCCTGTGGATGGTAGTTTTAAAAAAAGGAAGTGTGCCATTTCACAGGGAGTGGTCCTTGGGTATTAAAAAGACTAAAGATCAATTTAAACCAGACATGTTATTTCTAAAGCTGTATAAAATGTATATAATATAATCTGTCACTGTTAGTGTAGGTCTGCAAAACTGTAAGTGGGAAAAAAAGAGGGGAAAATGCATTTGCATGCTCACTGCTATTTTTATTACCAATATTTCTATTAGAATCTTTTCATGAAAGGAAAAAAAAAAATCTAATTCTTAAAAACATTTTGAATTTTATGTGTTGGTGTGTGTGAAAAATCAGAAAAGCTTTGCTTACCCTTTTAGCTTTTTACTGGCTATTCAAACTTCCTTGGCTGCTGTAGTATGTCTAGCTGTTTCTGTTTACTGAGAAATCCTCCAAGCTGACTCTTGTTTTATGTGTCATACCCACAAAGGCTCCGCCTACTGTCTGCTGAAAAACTCTGTATGTTTTTAATTAACCATTATCCTGTAAAAGGAAACCTAAAGTAAAAGAAATAAGTTCTCTCTGAAAGATGATTTGAGAAAAAAGCTTTGAAAATATATAAATGCTCTTGCATGTTCCTTACAGGTATTATAAATCAACAAATACTAAGTTAAAACATAGTAGTTTGTGTACAATAATTGATTTGGTTATTTCTTTTAAATTTAAATCTAATTCCTTAAATATATTCTGTGAAATACAAGCCAAATAAAGCAGCATTAAACAGCAATAGATTAATGGTAAGGACAGTTAAAAAGTTAGCGATTAATGACCTGAATTACACTTCAAGGATTAAAGAGCAATTATCTCTGTGATATCTTAAAAAAACAACAAAAAAACTCACCCATGCTTTTATTCTGCAGAGGAATTTATAAATATAAAGTTGTTTTCCAGTTCTACCGAAAAAGTCAAACAGTTGCAGTAGATCCAGGAAACTTCTGCCTCCATTTTTATCTAAGCAAAAAAAGCAAAACATAACCTCCGTTATGTAGGCCTCACACTGACAGTTTACCCCTCAAGCAGACATTTTTGAAAGATTTGAGGCTGCTAAAATGTAATTATTTTTTATACTTAATAAAGTATGGTAGTAATAATTATACATTTAAGGGGCATTAAGTACGTTTACAGAGTTTGTAAAAATAGCAAAACCTCTGGTCAAATGAAAGAACTGCAGCACTCTTGTGCTCGGTGTATCGCCGGCCCATAAACTTCAGAACAGAATAATCTGCTGCAAAGAAGATCACCTTGTTTCAATATTGTGAAATTCACAAAGGTAAGAAATGTAATTTTCTTATAGTTATCATTTGGTTCTCAATAATTTATTTGACACTCAAAATGTATTAAACGGTCTCAGAGAAATACAGACTAGTGTAACTACCTGTCATATATATCATAACATAAAAAAATTCAAGATAATTCAAGTGTCTTTATCAAAACATCAATCCAAAAATACAACTTTATTTGGTTTGAGGGATCCTGCTTCTCCTTTCCACAGCCTGGGACGGTTATACACTTCAATAGAAACACTTCTGCAAAATTAGGAATGAATTAAAGGCTAAAGAATGGCCTGCATTGAGGTACCAAGCATGACAAATTATGAAAGCGCCCGTGATAATTTTGAAACCGTAAATTTTCAGGTGTATTGGCTTGCTTATTAGGCTAGCATGCTATTTCTAATACATATTACCATGTAGACATTCTACCGGTCATTAAAAAAACACAGGACATATGCTATATGGTCAGAGTTACCTTGACTCACATTTTAAGAAAAAAGGCATTTAAAAGAGTCAGAATGATTATAAAGGGTATTTGGTGCTGGTCCTTAAGGTCTCTCAATAGGGTGTGTAACATTGGTTGGGCTGAAAATGGCCTATTTGCTGTTCTATGAGCCCTAATGCAAGCCTGGTTAAAAGACACATAATAAAACAACAGGTTTTCTTGCTTTTATGGTACAGTATGCTAATGAATATTTAGATGAGCTGTGCACCGATTGGTTGGTTTGCAATTGCTGAAGCTGCTAAGCAAAAATGCATCATAGCAACAAGCACTCATCACAATGAGGGAAACATCGAAATTGTTGATATGGTAGGGTGACCAGACATCCTCCTTTTCCTGGACATGTCCTACTTTTCATACTTAAAAAAATTTCCAGGGGGAATTTCGAAATCATCCGGGATTTTGGTCGACTACAGTGCAGCACGTAGTCGAAACACACCGGGCACTCAAACCGAGCCGACAGTTCTGGGGCTGGTCCAGAAACCCCGTTCTTCCATTTCACCCACTGAACTATCATTATTCATCTATAACAATGTAAACTCGGTTCTGCATTCA